AATATTGCCATATGAAAGAACAAAGGTAATAAACAAGAATTCAAAACAAAATAGAAAGGAGAGCAAATCGTCAAAGGGCAGCTTTGCAGCAAAACTGCACGTGGCTAGAAAAACAAGGAGAAAGACTTGGTCTCACTAGCAGCTAAAGAAACTCAAGTCAACACTGAAATTCAATCTTCACCTATCACATTGCAAAGGTGAAAAAAAATACCAGGTGTGGATATGGGTTTGGGGAAAGAGGCACTTGTATAAACTACTGATGAGAACGTACGTACATCGGGGCAGTCTTTTTGGAGGGGATTTCAGTTCTATTGCTATGTAACAAAAGACCGCCAAACTGGGTGGCTTCACAGCTATTTTATTACCTCAAGGGGTTCTGTGGATCTACTGGGCTTAGCTGGGTGGTCCTGATGCTGGACCTAGAGTCACCTGGGGGCTCCTGCTGGGCTGGAGCATGCCAGGGTGCTCACGTACACGGCTGGCCTTGGAGCCGGCTGGAAGCTCGGTTTGGAATGCCAACGGAAGCACCTCCACGTGCCTCTGCGGGGAGACCGGCAGTTAGGTTTTAAGAGAGGGTGTCTCGGAGGCAAGTGTTTACGAGAGGCAGGAAGGGAAGCCACCAGGCCAGTTAAAAGCCCTGTCTACGGGCCCAGCATCACTTCTACCATATTGCATTAGTCAAAGCAGGCCCAGGGCCCACCCACGGTGGTGGAGGAATAAACTTCACCTTTTGGTGGGGAGGTACGTTACAGAAGAGCGCGTAGGGTGAGAGATGCTGCCACTATCTCTGGAAAATTCAGTATCCCGCAGAAGAGGCAATTAGACAACATTTATTATAAATCCCTAGTGTCCGTACATCCTTTGTCCCAACAAATTCTGCTTCTGAAAATTAGTTTGAAATGCATAGTCGTAGATATTCCTGAAGACTTGGCTATTTAAAAATTGTTCCTCATAACATCAAGTTAAAAGGTATTCTCATGTCTTCAAATAGGAAACTGAGTGAGTAAATGGGTGTGCAGATCTAAGCAAAGCAGCGTCCTGAGGTGGGGTTTGGGGGTTTGAAAGGAGGGGTAATGCTGTTGGGTGCTGTTTTCCCCTTCCCAGCTTGGAGCCTCTCACATACTCCTGAGCAGGGGTTTGGGGGCAGCCGGGAGGTCTGCAGATGGGGTCTGTCGCCTGCTGAGCACCAGAAGGAACTAGGGATTTTGAGGCTGCTCGAGACGGGGTGAGGGTGAAAATGATCTCCCCAAATTCTGAATTCTGATTTGTGGCAGTTGGAGCAGAGATTCTGCTTCACAGAAGCCAGAGCTAGCACGGCAGCTTAAAACAAAGGGGAGGCCACTTCCATTTCCCCGGAAAGGAGGACTTTTGACGACCTGAACAGGGACCTGAGGCACACGGTGGCCGAGCCCCTCTTCGCACCGGGAGTGGGCACGGTGACAGCCAGCCCGGTTCAGGCTGTGTGTCGGCCCGAACTTGGGGGACGTGCCCCTCCTCTGTGGCCCCTGGTGGTCCACTAGAACAGTGAGGGGTGAAGTCCAGGACCCCAGCATGCGGAGACCCAGGGCCCTGAGCCTCGTCCGCAGGAGCGGAGTCCCCTGCCTGCTTCTCTGCGCTGCTTTCCTGTGTCAGCCTCACGTCAGGCAGTCCGTCTCCGCCTAGGGCCTCCGGGCGTGGGGGACACACATCGCCCTGTATGCCGTGGCCCCAGAGGAGAGATATTGCCCGTCACTCCCGTGACTGTGCCGGGGGCATCTGCTCTTCTTGGTCCGGGTCGTTCTCAGCCCTGAACCAACCGCAGTGGCCAGAAGATGACAAAGCAGACCGCTGGGCCCGGGGGACGGTACAGCTCTACCTGAGCCACACGGGGTCAGAGCAGGGGTGACACTGTGGTCCCCCAAAAGGACACTGAGGGAATATACGCCTGGTGGGAAAACAGTATGTCCACTCCAGAAAGTTACCCAGGGTCACCAAGGTGGTTGGACCACAGCCAAGTCCAGGCCTTTGCAAAAGATGGCACCAGTGAAGTGTAGCGCTTTGAACCCCAGCTCTGCCCTCATGGCTCTATAACTGTAGCCTCTCTGCCCCTCGCCTGTAAAATGGGAATAACAGAACCGGTCTCATAGGATCCTCTTAAGGATTAGATTAGTTAAAGCAGCACAGGTGCTTAGCCAGTTCCCAGCACTGACTAAATGCCGGCCCTCACTGGGGATGGTCCCTTATGAGGTCTGCCAAGCTCAAGAATGGGCAGCTGTGTCCAATAGAAACAGTCCAGTAAGAGGGGGTGCTGAGAGGCAGCACTTTGCTCAGAACAGACTTCACCTTAGAGGTCACGCAGTGTCGACTGCGTCCCTGGGGTCTCGGCTGAGGGTCAGGAGCGGGGTGGGAGGGGAATGGGCTGTGTCTTGCGCTCTGTGGCGCCATCAGTACCACCAGAGGAGGTAGCAGCTCCCCTCACACACACCCCACCCCCACCCCCGGCCGAATTCATTTGGACGGAAGCCTCTGAAACAGTGGCCCAGGCATCCTGTCTGTTTCAGGCTTGAATTCCACCCGGAAAGATTTGGGGCCAGCTGAGGCCTGGGGACGTACACTTGGTGCTGTGTTTGGGATATCCCGGAGTACATAAAGTCTTCATCCAAGTCAGTTAAACCAAGAGTTCTGTGGTCCAGGCAGTCTGGGGAGACAGGAATCGTAAAGCCTTGACTCCTGGGCGTAAGGACTTTAACACGCAGACATGAGGAAAAAGCTTCACACAACACAGAATGTAAGACGAGTGCAAAGCGCTGTGGACTTCAATCCAGGTGAGGATTTTGCAGGGAAGGGACTATGGAATCAGATGACTAGGCCGAGGAGGGCTTCTCCCTCTGAGAAGAGGCCTCTTCGATGGAGTACTGGACAGGTGGACAGAGCAGCCTGGACACACAAAGGAAGGGGCGGTGAGAGGTCAGGGGAAGCTGCTCTCAGCCTCTCCTCGCTGGAGGGTCTGGGATGGTCTTCCCAGGTTTGATGCGACCCCTCCTACACACGACTTTCTGCTCAAGGTACTAAGTGGAATAGTCAAGAAAGCAAACTACGAGACGACGGAGCAATGCCTTTGACGTCTTGGCAGACAGCGATTTCCATCTGCCACACTTGCGGTCGCGTAGGAGGGTAAAATGAAGTTTTAGATATTCAAGCTCTAAAATCAAACACTTCTCAAAAACCCTTGCTCCTAAAGCCGAGGAGGATGTGCTCCATCAAGAAGAGGAAGCAACTCAGAAAGAAGACCCGAGACACAGGAAACATGGACTGGAGCCCATGAGGCAGTGGAGGGGCTTCGCAGGGCGTCAGCCACGCGTGACAGCGAGACACCAACCCCGACTTGAGCAGGTCGATGGCTGCAGGACGTGTGTATTCAAGAGGCTGGAATTATCAGAACGCTTCTGAACATTCGGGATGTGTGTTCTGGTTTCTGGTTTAGGCATGTAAGGAGCTTGGAAGTCACCACTCCACGCTAACAACAAGTAAAAGGTCAAACAAACTGAAAACATCAACAGCTCTTCTTAGAACGGCCAGAGAAGTAAGGTCATAGCGCAAACTGCTGCCCCCCACAAACTGGTGAGACAGACAGCTGGATACAGAGCATCACAACTTACAGCAGAAACCGGATACCTGGGCTGTAATTAGTGAATGACTTCAGCTCAGTGTGGGCCACTCTGAGATCCCAAAGCTCCAGGGGACTCAGTCACTGGCGGGGGTTTGGGGGCACACACTTTTGTGAGTTTTACCTCCAGGAGCTCAATCAGGTTCCCACTGTAAATATCAAAGAAAAATCCCTTCCCGCTTCCAGCAGGGGGAGGGGAAAGGAGACCATCTCGAATACACCAGAGCACTCTGTTCCTCTCAACAGGGTCTGCTCTCAGAAGACACTAGTTAACCAGAGCCCAACCTGCTGGGCTGTTATCAGAGCCAAGGTGACCGGAGGGAAGGGACACCCCAACTCCAGCCCCCTCTAGCCATCCTGTCCCACATAAGCGGGGAGGGAAAAAACCTGAGAAACACCTCTGCAGCTCTCAGCCCAGGGGCAGAGGTTCTAAAAGACTTTTACCTGGTGTATCACGGCCAGCTATTGAGAAAAATATTATAGGGCAGAGCAAAAGGCAAAAAACACAATTTGAAGAGACAGTGAAAACATCGGAACCAGACACGGCAGGGATGTTAGAACAACTATTAGATAATTCATTAGACTAGGAACTAAATATGCTAAGGGCTTAACGGATAAAGTAAACAGCATGTGAGAACAGATGGGCAAAGTAAGCACAGAGACAGAAATCCTAAGAAAGACCCAAAAAGAAATGCTGGAGATCAAAAACTCTGTACCCGACACGAAGAATGCTTTTGATGGGCTTATTGGTAGACTGGCCCCGGCTGAGGAAAGTTGTGAGCAAAGTGCAAAAGCCATATGGAGCTTGAGGCAAAAGGAAAAACAGTCCTCCTAAACCCTCCACCACACACACACACACACACACACACACGCGCGCGCGCACGCACACACACACACACACACACACACACAGACCAACTTTCTGTTCCCCTGACCCCTGGGGCTAAACGACCCAGCTGAGGAGCACCCAGGGCAGGGCTGCTCCCCTGGTACCGGGAAAAAAGTGACGGGCAGGTCCGCCTGTGCCCTCGGATGGTTCTGAAATGGGCCATATAAACTGCTTCAAATAAATTAACCAAGAACGTAAGAATAAGAGCAGGTATTTATTGAGGTCTAAGTGCTTGACAAATACAGACTCATTTCATCCTCGCTTTGATCGCCAGTGCTATGGTTACCCCTATTTATAGGAGAGGGAACTGACGCACGGAGTTTCCATCAGTTTGCCTCAAATCACACAGCAAGTAAGACGCCGGGCTGGGGCCTGAACCCCGACAGTCTGGGGGCTTGGGGACCAAGTCCACGCCCACGACTCCTGGCCACAACGCTGTGACCTGGGTCAGAGCAGCCTTGACCCTCACTGCCGTCCACCGCGCGCCCGGCGAGGCTTCCACCCGGCCCAGCAGAGCCAGGCAACCTTAGAAGCACTCCGAAACCCACCCAACGACCGAGAAGAACGCCAGCCACAGAAGGACCACATCCGCACCGCGCCAAGCCGCGGTCGGACTTGACTGAATTCCAGGGCAGAGGCCAAGGCCACCGGAGCGCGCTGGCGGGGGCGCGGACTTGGCGCCACCGGACCCTGCAGCCGCCCCAGAGCTTCTCGGGGTCGTAGGGCTCCCGGCGGCGGGCGGGGAAGAGGCGCTGGTTCTTCCCGCGACGGCTGCGCGGCGCCGCCTTGTCCGCGGGCGACTCCTCCTTCTCCAGGCGGGGCGTCGCTGCGCAGCCGCACGTCGTGGTGCACGTCGAAGGTGAAGCGCCGCCCGCTCTTGCCGCGCGCCGGCGCCACCCTCAGGTCGTAGAAGGGGTGGTCGTGCGGCCGGATCCGGGCCTCCGCGGCCTACAGCAGCCGCTCCGCGCCGGCCGCGCGCAGCTCGCGGAAGGCGGGGCGCCGCGCCATCAGCGCCTCGCGGAGGACCTGCCGCACGGCGCCGCCCCTGTGGATGCGCGCGGCGCGCCGGTGCCCGCAGCCGGCCCAGGAGCTGGACGTCGCCTCCACCTCCTCGCGCTCGCGGTCCGGCAGGAAGCTCGTGTCCACGGCCGCGTCCTTGCCCTCGGGGTCGCCCCCCTCGGGGTCCTCGTCGCCGTCGTCGGGCGAGAAGGACAGACCGCAGATCCGGCGCCGCTGCTGCCGCTGGCGCTCCCGCCGTTCGCGCTGCGCCCGCTGCATCTCGCGCTGGCGCGCCAGGGCCTCCAGCCGCGCCTTCACGTCGTGCTGCCCCGCGGTGCTCCGCTTCAGCTCGGCCTCCACCGCGTCGCAAGTGGGCGCGAACTTCCAGCCCACCTTGCGCTTGCTGATGGTCTCCTCGGCGATGCGCTGTTTCAGGACCCCCATGTGCTCTTTCTGCTTCTCGCGCTGGTTGAGCGGGTGCAGGGCGGGCCGGCCCGCGCATATGGTGCCCTTGTACCGAGCCGTGCCGCCCGCCGGCTCCCCCGGGCCACGCACGCCGCGTGCTCTCGACCCCGGCCTGGGAGCTCGGAGCCACCGCGTGGACTCTGCAGCGGGGAACAGAGGCAGGGAGTTCCGGAGGGGCCAGAGTGACAGCTCGACGAACGGTCCAGATGGACGCCTTCCAACAGAATGGAATGTTCTGTAGCTGCGCTGACCCACGTGCAGCCGTATGGGGCTTATTGAGCACGAGGCGCTGGTTTTTCACTTTATTTCAGTTAATCTAAATTTCAGTAACCACATGTGACTGTGGCTCCCATACTGGATGGTGCAAGCCTGGGAACTGCATATGGACAGGGTTGGTCTGCCCAGCAAACTTACCTGTCCAGGTACCCACTCAAGCACGGACATGCAAGAGTCAGAGCAGCCAGAGAGCCGACCTGCACTGGACCTGAGCCTGGCGTCGTGTGTGCTGACCGCAGGAAAACAGTGTGAGCGAAAAGCACCTCTCTCCTCAGTCAGGTACATGGCTCCTCTCAGGCACACAAGCTAATGAGGGGAGAAGGGTCAGACAGAAGCATCTTCCCGTACCTCCCTGGAGGGTGTTAATGTCAGCTGAGTTCCCATCAGTATGTTACGGGCCGGGCAGGACTGTGCTAGTTGCTGTCCCTCCCCCTCCCTTAAGAGTCATTCCTGCAGTATCTGTCTGACCCCCTGGTGCCCAGTGCGCTAGTTTCCAGAAGCCGTGTGGGCACAGCCCTTGCTGGGGGAGCCGTAGGGGACAGAGGGGATCTGAGCACAAAACTGACTTCTTGGCGTTTTAACCAAAGCAGAGTGAGGCCCCCCCTAATTCACTGATCTCAACCTGAGCCAACCGTCTTCCCTTGGGACCAGACCTGTCCTGCCTCGGGCCCCACAGCTCCGTCCCCCACTGAACCCCACCCCTATAAGCTCTGGACGTTGTCTCATCCAGCCATCCTGCCCCACTGTGACCCCCTGGAATGCAGCAGCTCATGAAGCAGAGACTCCTAAACCCTCGGCTGCCTCCGGGAAGCCTCCCCTTGCCTTCCTGCCCCACCCTGGAACCTGCTGTTCCCCGAGGACCACTTACTTCTCCCTGCGGCCCCCAGAAGGAGAGACGTTCTCCTCATGATCTCAGAGTCTGAAAGTGGGATGAGCATCCGTGCCGTTTCACAAACATTGCTTCTGTTTCCCTTAAAAACTCCCAGCTCCCTTGAAGCTCATGCAACCCAGCGATACTCTCCCTGCTGTGGCTGACCTCTCTGAAGTGCCCTGTCCTCCTGAATCCTTGAGGATTGGCACCTGGCTTACCTGCTTTCTTCCTCCATCCCCATCCCGCGTCATCCTGGATGCGTCCGCATCACCTACCCACCTCCTTTCTCTCTTCCACACGCAGTTCTTACATCACTACCCCGTCAGTGCCCATCTCCGAAATCTTAACCTCCCAAATCCCCTCCTTTCCTGTCACTTAACTCCAGTACCCAAACTCTAACTGCCCTCTGAGAGCTCAAGACCCCCCATCCAAAGACCCTGTCACCTCTCCAGTGTCACCATACACTCGTATGCCGCCTTGCTCCTTGCCCACCAGAGAGTCACAGATTCCTGACTCTCTCGTGCTCCTTTCCTTCCTGTAATTCTCACCTGAAAGAACTCTGATCCTGGTTAAACCTCACCTGTCTTCTCGTCCCCAAAACCCAGGCAGCTGAATATTGCTGGAGAAAGTGACATGGCTGCTGCTGGCTCGTCCCACTTTAAATTCAGGACCTTAGCCCTCCAAATGGGACTCAAAACTGCCTAGAAGTTCTCCTACTGCCCCAGAGAGGCTGTTTGTCCCCCCCAGACAGCTGCTTCTTACTTCTCCCTGTCCCTCCGCACCCTCTGACACTCTCCCGCCTCTCCCCACCCCCAAGTTGCCCCACTGGAGGAAAACACACAGGTGGTCTGGATAATAGAATCCTCCCCGCTCCCAAATTTTATGACACAAAAACTGTACTCAGTCTGGTTAGATCTCTCCTATACAGCAGTTTCCCCCAAATATATGTTCTGCGAAAAAGGCTTGTGAGTCTTTGATGTGCTTGTCCCCACTGTGCCTCTCCAAGGATGGGTAGAGTATTTCACGTTTCCCAGAAGTTTTGGGTCATTAAATGTTTCTTGCCCTACAGAGTACCCGTTAACATTTCCAAAACCAGCGCTTCCTGGCATCTTGTCTGGAGAAGTTGGCTGTGAAATACATGCCAGCTTCTCAGCCTGGCCCTTCTAGAAGCAGCAGTGCCTGTGAGCACAGCCTCGACGAGAAACCCTTTATCACATGAGGGTAGAACATGGCACCTACGTGCCCAGAAGAAAGTAGGGTGGTGGTACTGCCCACCAAATTGGCCAAACAAGAAGTCTGGGTGATTTCCTGGACTGCTATCCTTCACACGTAGTCAGTGACCGCACCACCCCCCCCCCCCGACCGTTGATAGGTTTTCCTTTTCTCTCCTTTCCCACCCCTTGCCTTAACCCAGGAATTGTGCTTTTCCCCCACCTAAAGCCCACAGGTGCCCTGTCGGCATATTCTCAATCTTGTCCATCTTGTGTACACTGTCCAGGGATCCTCGTAAGAAGGGATCGCTCTGCTCCTTGAAAATCCCCTCTAACTCTCCCTTTAAGATCACATGGGAACCCTCCCTTCTCCTCTCAGGTCTCTAACAACGCCCCCCACCCTCCATCTCCCAACGCCCCACACCACCCGGCATCCAGCAGCCACCCGGAACTTTCCACTGTTCCTGAACAGAGCTGTTCCCTTTGGGGACACTCTTCCTGTAAGTCCTGCTCCCGCCGGGGGTCCCTCAGGACCTCCCACAGAAAACCTGCAGCTCCCAGCACAGCCCCTCACAGATGCACAAAGCTACCAACTCCCTCCTGTCTCCAGGCTCCCCAAGTCATAACCTTTCTTAGACATAATACAAATCGGACTGCTTGGCGGCCCCCTTTCTCAATTAGATACGCCAACCAGTCACACTTTAATCCAATCAACTCCAGTATGGCCACAGCCACTGACTGCCCTTCCTCCCATCTAATCACAGCCTGAATGTCAGTGTCGTCCCCAAACCTCATCATCCCCGCTTCCGATTAGCCGGCATCCGTCCTCTCAACTCAATCACAGTCTCCGTACACCATAGGCAGCTGGCCCCCAGAATGAACAAGGTTACTCTCAAACTCCTCGAAAAGGTTGGCAGGAGGAAGCAGACCTATCTTAAGAGTCTCAAATCCTGATTTTAAGAATATTCCTCACGCGTTCCCAGATGCTAACCGCTTGTGACCTCAATCCTCAATGAAAAGCAAAATGCTACTGCCTTAAACTCTTTTCAACTTTATCTACAGATAACAGTGACAGAAGAGGGGCTGGAGCAGCAGTCTGCTTCAGTGAATCTGAAATGCCGATTAAATAAGCAAATTTTAATTTAGAGAAAATGTAATCTACTCCAGGCTTAGTTACAAGGTGAAACAAACATGCAAACGAACAGCAGCAAATTTTTTATTTTTTATTTTATTTTTAAAAATTTTTACATATGTTCCCATATCTCTTCCTGCTTGCGTCTCCCTCCCTCCCACCCGCCCTATCCCACCCCTCCAGGCGGTCACAAAGCACCAAGCTGATCTCCCTGGGCTATGCGGCTGCTTCCCACTAGCTATCTATTTTACGTGTGGTGGTAGTGTATATATGTCCATGCCACTCTCTCGCTTTGTCACAGCTTACCCTTCCCCCTCCCCATATCCTCAAGTCCATTCTCTAGTAGGTCTGTGTCTTTATTCCTGTTTTACCCCTAGGTTCTTCATGACATTTTTTTCCCTTAAATTCCATATATATGTGTTAGCATACGGTATTTGTCTCTCTCTTTCTGACTTACTTCACTCTGCATGACAGACTCTAGGTCTATCCACCTCATTACAGATAACTCAATTTCGTTTCTTTTTATGGCTGAGTAAAATTCCATTGTATATATGTGCCACATCTTCTTTATCCATTCATCTGATGATGGGCACCGAGGTTGTTTCCATCTCCCGGCTATTGTAAATAGAGCTGCAACGAATATTTAGTTTTCCTTTTAGTTTTGTGGAATTCTCCACACTTCAGTTTTCTCATATGAAAAATTACAAACTGGATTATTGGGTCCTTTTGAGTTGTACAGGTGTAGGGTTCTATTGAGAGAACTTGCTCGTAGCTCATCTGAGTTGATCACAAGCCACCTGGGGCTTCTTTGCTTGGATAATTCCTACTGGCTGCTGGTTATCTAGAAAAATCCAAATTTCTCCGGGTGGGGTGGGGAGATGCCAGCTCAGCCAAAGGCATTAGCTCATAGACCATATCAGACTTTGGTTGGCCACAGCTGGGCTGCCGTGTTATCAAATTAGTCCAAAGGTAAATCCAAAGGGCTGGGAAAGGAGTAGATTAAGTCCAAGAAACTACTGATTTGGTGGCAGAGGAGTTGGGGCAGCCTCTGGCCTTCATGACCAGAACCTGGCAAATGGGTGCTTCTCAGACGTTTCAAGGACCCAGTTGTGAACATCTTCACTAGTAGCTTAGTCTATAGGGGAATGAACATAAGGAACCAGATCCCTTTCGTTCCCTTGGAGCTGATTGATTGTGAGATTTTTCCATTCCTAGTTTCCTGGTTGGGGAAGTTCTTCACTTTCCTGGGAAGCCCTTCCCTATGCCCTTGCCAACCCTGCAAACTCACTCCATGCGCTACTTTGAGAGGGTGGAGTGTGTAGGTCTCACTCGGCCCCTTCTCCTTCCTTCCATCCTTCCCAGACGTAACCGTACTGTCACCTGCCACATACTGCATCAGTGCTCAGAAGCCGGGGACAATAGGGGTGAATTGCACTGTCAAGGTGGCCCCAGATTACCCAACCCAGATTGCTCTCTGATTTCTGTTCATTTACTTTTTTGAAATAAAAATGTTTTTATACTACATGAATTTTGTAAAAACTTCATATAAAATGGTCTTTATGTAACCCAAGCCTGAGAGAGAATCATCATTCGTAGTTGGCATTTGCTTCCAGACTTCAAATGCATATGTAAATATGTATTTTAATATAA